TGTCAGAGCAGCAAGAGGAGGGTTCAGACCCTGGTTCAGCCATAGACAGTGGGGATGGGGTTGTGGCGAGAAGACTTGCTCAGCACTCAGCCTTCTCAGTGATAGAATCTCCGGCGTCCTGCCAAGGTGGGCGGGAGGAGGTAGGGGAGCTGATCTTCTGAGGTTGTCAGTAACCAGAGGCTCCTCGGTCTGGACTTGCTACAACCACCACTGCGCTCCCCAGCCCCTGCCTTAGGGGCTGCTGTGTCCCTTGCCTGGTGGTCCCCGAGTTCAGGAGAAGGCTTGTGTAATAGCACAGACCAAGTGCTGACCCCTGCCGCGTGGCTGAACCAGGCATTGGCATCATTCCTGACATCCAGTCAGCGATCAGTATGTCTTGGGAGGCCGCATCTTCCTTCCTTTATTACATGCACACCCCTGCCACCAGCTGACTGCTTTGAGGGGAGGTGGGGAAGGGGAGTTCAGGGATGTCATGACACGGCCCTATTCCTCCCCCTGTCCTGATCTCCCAGCCTGGACTTGGATCTATTAATAACCACTGAAGCAAAGCAGGTGTGATCAACATTCCAGCTGCTCACCCAGTGGGACGAACACATGGAGAGCAGGGAGCAGAGTAGCAACAGCAGGCACCCTTCTTAGTCATGCACACCGTGCGCTTGCCTTCGCTCTTCTGACAGCAACCCCAAGTGGTAAGGACTTAAGGGAACAAGAGGAGGGGACCTGAGGCTTTCTTGGGCTTGTGGTTGGGGTGCTGCTTGGATTGTTCCTTTGCAGTCATGTCCTCTGCCAGCCTGTGGGTGATGAGAGCTGCACGCTCTGGGTTCGCGCTGTCCTCGTCTGTGACTCGGCCAGCCTGAGCTGTGTTTAAGGACTCAGCATGCCCAGGTGCTGGCACGGTGAAAAGCTGCTGAGCACACCTGGGCGGGGAGTCTTCTCCTTTCTTGGTTCTGGCAGGGACAAGGAGGCTTAGAGCTGTGTGTTTGAGCAGCTCCCATGTCTCTCGCTGCCATCAATTTGAGGCCACTCCCCTCCCGAGGCAGTGGGATGTGTGGCCATGTCCCTGGCACCTGCCACCCTTAGCAGGGGGTGGGGGCCCTGCTGATTGCACAGTGAGCCTTCCTGTGGTGCAGGAGTTGCCGAGCTAAGCTATGGGGGATGAGGCAGCACCTGGAACAGGCTCTGTCTTACATGGGCTGTCACTGTCATCCCGCCCAGCCGTTCCTGTGGCTTGTGAGCGGCAAGACCTTTCCTTCCTTCGATCTTGGGCTGTCAGAGCTCTAGTCCTGGGCCTGTGGGTTTCTGCTGCCCCTGGCCAGCTCAGAGACTTTTCCCATGTGACTCCCCAGGCCTCTGGGAGAACCTGCTGCCCTGCCTCTCTGCTCGTGGCTCCTGACAGGTCCCTGGCTGTGTGCCCTGCTTAATCCTGTCCTCCAGATTAGCACATTCCAGTCTTCCTCACCAGAGCCTGTGACTCTTCTTGGCTCGAGCACCTGCCAGCTTGCCCTGCCCGACCAGTGAGAAGGTTTTGCTTTCATTACTTGGTTGATTTTTATTCCTGAGACATATGTGTCTGGATGCACGTCACTCACCAGTAGGCATGATTCTTACTCTTCCCAGTTAACTCTGTTGCTGAGGGGCTAGACCTGCATACAGTCCCTGTTAGGTGTGAGAAGGCTTAGGTCTCCAGCCCTGGGTGGTGCCCTTTGGTACATCGATCAGACAGTGGCTCATGAAGTCAAACCCAGCAGTAGAGACACGTGGACCATTTTCTGCACAGGCTTCCTGGTGCCAGCAGGGGTGGGATCTCAAAGCCCAAGCCCTCGTGCCTGTCTATCTCTCAGGGACAGTTGGCTCCTGTGTGGATGTGTAGTGGGGTCCCAGGCCTGCTGACTGCAGACTTCCCCTGGGCTTAACGCTACACACTCTAGCCCATCCAAGGCATACGGTCATCTTTGCAGTGTGTGCCCTGGGGTCCTGGAGGGCTTGCACTTAGAGTTGGTCCTTGGCATACTCTCACATGACGGTGCCCCAAGGCTGCAGATGGACACCTGGTAACACTGTCCTGTGGTGGCTGTGCTGCTCACACAGTGCTCTCCTGGGCAGTTCTCTCACTCTTGCGTAGGGCGTGGTGTGGGCTCAGACGGACCTGCTGTGTTCCTCTCTGGGCCTCTGTCGCTGTGTACCAGTAGGGGGTGATAGCACTCCTTCCACAGCTGCTCTGAAAGCTGGCTCCTGGGCCCCTTAAGCCCTTTCAGCCTGGCATCTCCCTGGACTACCTGCATTTTCTGGGTTTGCCTCCCTTCCCATTGGCCTGTATGCTTTTATATCAGGATTCCAGTGAACACAGTGTGTGTCCTATAGCAGGAGCTCAGTAGATGTTTGCTGAATTGAGTTATGTAAAATGAAGCTGCCCAGAGCCTCTCCTGTTCTCTCAGAGCATGGAAAAGTAAATGTTCGTTACCCTGGTCTGGACTAATAAAGGAAGTTGGAAGTGCCTGGAAGGGTGGCTGTGGTGGCAGAGCTTGGAGTGCTGATTTGTGTCCCAGCTCTAATACTTCCTAGCTGGCTCCCTGCTAATGTGCCCGGGAAGGCGGAAGGTGCTGGTCCAAGTGCTTGGGCTCCTGCCACCCACGTAGTGAGACTGTGATGGAATACCTGGCTCCTGGCCTTAGCATAGCCAGCCTAGACTGCTGCAGGCATTTGGAGAGTGAATCGGCTGATGGAAAATTTTTCTGTCTCCATGCTTTTAAATAAATCAGTAAGAGAGTGCAGCTTTAGCCGCCCTCCTGTTTCGGGGAGCGTGCTCCTGCAAAGTCAGTTGGTGAGCATCAGCTCACAGGCTCTAAAGCAGTGGCATGGTGGGAAGGCGTAGGCTTCAGAGTCTACCAGGCCTTCTTCTTTCTTCCTGGAAATAGATCCTTGGGTGTGTGGAATCCCCGAGACTCAGGCTCCTTAACCTGTCAACCAGCAGATGTGTGATGAGAAAAGACCCCGTGTGTCATGGGCCATTATGTAAAGGCAGGCCAGCTTCCCTTCACTGCCTTCTGTACCCCAGCACCCTCCTGGCCACCATCTGACCAGGCTCACTGCATATCCCGCATGTCCCAGTAGGTCTCTTAGACGCCCCTGCTGCCCCAGCCCCGCTCCACTCCATCTCTGTGCTTGAGTCTGCTACGTCATCTGCCGGGATGCCTTCCCACTGTCCTTTGCCTTCCTACTGCCTGCTGCTTTCCCACGTACCTGTCCGTTTCCTTCCCACATACCTGTCTGTTTCTTTCTCGACCCCTGAAATCAAGGTGTAACTGTGCCTGCCAGTCTGGGGTCCTGAAAGGCTGGCCAGTGTGGGAGCTGTTGTCCTGGTTATTTTGGTACCTGTGCCTTGCATGTAGCAGGCACTCCGTGATGCAAACAGCAGTATCTGTTGTTGAGCAGGAGACACTCTGTGAGGAGCTTTGCAGAAATATTTAACACGAAAGACCTGTGTCGCAGAAGCTGTTATCCCAGCCATACAAAAAAGGTCGGTGTTGGGGCACAGTGGGTTAGGCTGCACTTAGGATGCCTATGTCCTCATTCGGAATGCCTGATTCGAATCCTGGCTGGTTTGCATTTGTGGTCCAGTTTCCTGCCAATGTCCCAGGGAGGCAGCACAGAATGGCCTAAGTGCTTGCACTTTGTTACCCACATGGGAGACCCCGATGGAGTTCCTGACTCCTGGCTTCAGCCTGACTGTTGTAGTCATTTGGGAAGTGAACCAGTAGATGCTTCTTCCCCCCTCTCTCACTATACCTTACAAATAAAATAAACCACACATACACACACACAGAGTGTATCAGGAGCTTTGGACTGTAGGCAGTGAGAACTTTGCACAAAGTAGTGTGGGAACAAAGCAGGGTTCGTGCTCTTCCCAGGAGGTGCCATAAGCATGTTTGGGGGTGTCAACCAGCATCTAGATGGAAGTCAGACCTGGCCACCCTCCGCAGGGCACTGAGTTAGCCTTGATTAGCCACTCTAGTGGGCCAGGGCGATTGCCATGGTCCCAGCTGCCACACGCAGGGGACATGATGTTGTTTCTTTCTAAGACTGCTCTGTGGACATCCTGCTAAGTTCTTGGTTGGTTTGGTCTTAGGCCTGTTCCCAAGCCACTCCCAAGCAAAGGAACTGGGATCAATGAAGCTGTCATGGACAAGGCAAGATTGAGCCCCTTGAGGGTCCAGACACCTGATTCGGGGGAGAAGGCAGATTCAAGTTGTGTAACTTGTTCAGGTCGCAAGGCATAACTGTTTGTGCTGGCCAGCGTATGGCCAAGAGGTTGGGATCTGAGAGCTCCTGCATTCTCTGTTCTGGCTGCTGTCCCAGCTTCCTGCCTAGCAGGCTTTGAGAGGCAGCAGGTGATGACTGAAGCACTTGGGCTCCTGCTTACCCATGCGGATGCCTGGGCTAAGTTCCCAGCTCCTCTTGACTGCAGCCTTGGCTGACGTAGGCAGAGGCGAACTGGTGGTTAGGAGCTGGTTACCTCTCAAAATAAGACACCTGGTTGACCGTGCGCCCCCTGCTGGTTGGATGGAGTTGACACAATGGTGGAAAGAGCTTGGCTCTTCATGGCACCTGTGGGATTTGAGTGATCTGGTAGTACGTTTTGCTACTGATCCTGGAGTCACCCCTCACTTGAGGCCCCTTTCTATTATTGTGTTGTTTGTTCTCCCTTCTGTCTCTTCAATGCCTGTCTTCTAGTACCTATCCTCCATCTGCCTTCTGGAATAGACTTCCTGTCCTTGGCTAAAGAGAGGGCCAGCAGGTGGCCTGGTCTCAGCGCTGCATTCAGTGGAGCTGGCAAGGTCCCCTGAGAGCTCTTGGAGGTAGAGCAGATGAACAGACCTGGCAGCTGCAAAGGCCTCCCGGCCGCAGCAGGAGGAGCTGGGACAGTGCTGAGGGAGCCTGACGTGGGGGCAGTGCAGCGTCCCCCCTGGAGATGGTGCCCTCACTTTGGGCTTGTCTTGCAGATGCTCCAGGACTGCCCCAAGGCCCGCAGGGAAGTGGAGCTGCACTGGCGGGCCTCGCAGTGCCCACACATCGTGCGCATTGTGGATGTCTACGAGAATCTGTATGCCGGGAGGAAGTGCCTGCTGATTGTCATGGAGTGGTAAGTGGCTGCTGTGCTGTGCCTGGCCCAGCCTGGCATCGCACCCCGCTCAGGGGACAGCCCAGTCAGTGGAAAGTGGTGGGGGGTGCGTCCTCCAGACCTTTCCTTGGTTTTGTCTCAGTTTGGATGGTGGAGAGCTCTTCAGCCGAATCCAGGACCGGGGAGACCAGGCATTCACGGAAAGAGGTACAAAGGATGCATGTGGGACAAGGTGGGGAAGGGGCCTGCTCCTGTGGCAGATGGGACCAGAACGGCTAGTGGTTGCTTTGTTTCTGGAGTGCCGGGTGCACAGGAGCAAAGTGAGGCTATCTCTATGCCTTTCCTGCCCTCCCTCCACCCCCAACAGAAGCCTCAGAAATCATGAAGAGCATCGGCGAAGCCATCCAGTATTTGCACTCAATCAACATTGCCCATCGGGATGTCAAGGTACTGGTTCATGTGGGTGCTGTGGGGCTGTAGGCTGGGAGCTGGCGGCCTGAGACCCTGTGTCTGGGGGCTTTGTGGTCCTGAGGGCAGCGTGGGGCTGTGTGTCGCTCCCTACCCATGCAACTTCTGCATCAACAGGGAAGACCTCTCTGGGCAGTGTGCTCAGCCTGTGCCAACCACTTATGTCCTAGGGCACCTGCTGCACCTGTCACTGGCACTCGGTGTTAACTCTTGTCTCCCGGCATTCCAGGAGCTCTGGGAAAGTGGGGACCTGCTCACAGCGAGCCCATGGTGCCTTGACTGGGCAGTTCCTGGGCTGAGGGTTGGGAGGGCAAGGCCACCCTTCCCCGCCCCCCCCAGGATTTCTGATTACCCTGTCTCAGCTGCAGCAGGGCTGTCATTTGTCTGTCTCTTCCCGTAGCCCGAGAATCTCTTGTACACCTCCAAAAGGCCTAATGCCATCCTGAAACTCACTGACTTTGGCTTTGCCAAGGAAACCACGAGCCACAACTCCCTGACCACCCCTTGCTATACACCCTACTACGTGGGTAAGTAAAGTGGAAACTGGAGACCCTGTTTTTCACCTGGCCCCTCCTTCTGGGATCCTCCCGTGTAGGTCACAGAGGATGCCACGAACTGGCAGGATGGATCCTCAGGGCTCTCTGGCACTGGTGCTAGCCTCCAAGCTGCCAATGAACTAGGAGTCTTGGGGCTGAGAGGCCCCAGGTGCTGGGCGGGGTGTCCCTCCAACCCTGATAAGCTGCCATTCCTGTCTGATTTCCAGTGGAGAGCAGGACCTAGGTTTGGTGTGGCTCCTCGGCTGACTGACACAAAAGCGTCTCTGGCAATTGAAGCATTTATTCATTTTAAGAACCTAGGGTCAGCACTGTGGTGCAGTGGGTCAAACCCCTACTTACAACACCAGCATCTTTCATCAGAGTGTTGGTTCAGGTTCCTACTAAACACCTGGGAAGGAGTAGAAGATGGCCCAAGGAGTGAGACCCCCACCACGCATGTGGGAGAGACCCAGGTAGAGTCCCTGGCTGCTGGCTCCTGACCTTGACCTGGACTAGCCCCAGCTGTTGCAGCAGTTTGGGGAATGAACTGGGAAGATGGAAGATCTCTCACAAAATGAATGAATGAATCAATTAATCTTTAAAGATGTGTTTTTAAAGATTTTAAAATTTTTATTGGAAAGTCAGATTTACAGAAAGGATAAATCTACAAAAGAAAAATCTTTTGTCTGCTGATTCACTCCCCAAGTAGCCGCAATGGCTGGAGCTGAGCCAATCTGAAACCAGGAGCCAGGAGCTCTTTTGGGTCTCCCACGCAGGGTGCAAGATCCCAAGGTTTTGGGCCGTCCTCGACTGCTTTCCCAGGTCACAAGCAAGGAGCTGGTAGAAGTAGAGCAGTCAGGACATAAACTGACGCTGATAGGGGATCCTGACACGTGCAAGGCTAGGACTTTAGCCACTTGGCTACCACGCCAGACCCTCCATTAAGCTTTTTTAAAGTCTCTGGCTGCAGAGCTGAGCTGCTTGCTGAGGAGGGTCTTCTGCTCCTTCCACTGCCATCCCCCTCCCCCAGCTGCCTTCCCATCTGGAAGGCTAGGGAGTGGGAGAGGTGGTGGCATCATTCACAGGAGGGGTTGCCAGGGCACTGCCAGGCCCACTCAGCTTGACCTTTAATTTGCAGCCCCTGAGGTACTGGGTCCGGAGAAGTACGACAAGTCCTGTGACATGTGGTCCCTCGGTGTCATCATGTACATACTGTGAGTGTGCAGGGACACCCACGTGCTGGGCTGTGAGTGTGTGGGGGTGGGATACCCACGTGCTGGGCTGTGAGTGTGTGGGGGTGGGATACCCACGTGCTGGGCTGTGAGTGTGTGGGGGTGGGATACCCACGTGCTGGGCTGTGAGTGTGTGGGGGTGGGATGCCCACGGGCTGGGCTGTGAGTGTGTGTGGGTGGGATACCCATGTGCTGGGCTGTGAGTGTGTGGGGGTGGGATGCCCACGGGCTGGGCTGTGAGTGTGTGGGGGTGGGATGCCCACGGGCTGGGCTGTGAGTGTGTGGGGGTGGGATACCCACGGGCTGGGCTGTGAGTGTGTGGGGGTGGGATGCCCACGGGCTGGGCTGTGAGTGTGTGGGGGTGGGATACCCACGGGCTGGGCTGTGAGTGTGTGGGGGTGGGATGCCCACGGGCTGGGCTGTGAGTGTGTGGGGGTGGGATACCCACGTGCTGGGCTGTGAGTGTGTGGGGGTGGGATGCCCACGGGCTGGGCTGTGAGTGTGTGGGGGTGGGATACCCACAGGCTGGGCTGTGAGTGTGTGGGGGTGGGATACCCACGTGCTGGGCTGTGAGTGTGTGGGGGTGGGATGCCCACGTGCTGGGCTGTGAGTGTGTGGGGGTGGGATGCCCACGGGCTGGGCTGTGAGTGTGTGAGGGTGGCATACCCACGGGCTGTGAGTGTGTGAGGGTGGGATACCCATGGGCTGTGAGTGTGCAGGGATACCCACGGGCTGGGCCGAAGTGTGCGGGGGTACTGGGCTACATGAGGGTTATATGGGGTGGTCCTGCAGGTGTCCAGGACAGGATATAGATATCAGCACTTTCTTTTTGGACAGATTTTCTGTTTCCTTAGTGCCCTGTGGAGTCTGAAGGTGGAGGGCTGGGTGTGGCTTCGCGATTGAGTGGGGCAGTGTGTGGTCTAGACCCTGGGATATCGGGGCCCTGTCCCTACTTCCTCAGAGTGCCGTGTCATTGAGCCGCTGCCTTAGCCCTCTTTTCCTGTTTGCTCGACACAGGCTGTGTGGGTACCCCCCCTTCTACTCCAACCATGGCCTCGCCATATCTCCTGGCATGAAGACGCGCATCCGGATGGGCCAGTATGAATTTCCCAACCCAGAGTGGTCGGAAGTGTCTGAGGAAGGTAAGAGCCCAGCCTTTCAGGACCAGGGAAGTATGTGTGTGCACACTCATGAATGTGAGTGTGCAAGTGCGTGTACAGTATGTCCTGTGAAGGTATGTGTAAATGTGAGTGCATGCACGTGAGTGTAGAAGTGTGCATGTGTGGGTATGCTTGCATCTGTGTGCACAGTGTGTACACGTGTAGGCATGTGTGTACACTTGGGTATGTGTATATGTACATGAATGTATTTGTGCGTATGCGTGGGTATGTTTGTGCAGTGTGTACACATGTAGGCATGTGTGTGCGCCTGGTATCTGTGTGCATATGTGTGTACATGTGGGTATATTTGTATCTGTGTATACTGTGTATAGGTATGTGTGTACTTGTTGTGTGTGTCTCATGTGGGAAGTGTTAGTGGGTCTGCTCTCACCTACTCCATGTGTAGGACCTAAGACAGGTGCAGGCCACAGGGACATGGGGGCTGGTGCAGTGGTCCTAGGGTCCTTGTCTCCGTGCAGCCCCTTTGGCCCCGGTTTCCCCAGAGAGCATCCCCTGAGCTGTCCCCTGCCCTGCTCACCCCCCACAGTGAAGATGCTTATCCGAAACCTGCTAAAAACGGAGCCCACTCAGCGAATGACCATCACGGAATTCATGAACCACCCCTGGATCATGGTGAGCTGGCTGGGGGGCTGGGCTCCAGGGGCTCGGCCCTCACACCGGCTCTCTGCCAGAACCCTGCGCACGCTAGGCTTTCACTCACCGCTCTGCTCTTCCTCTCAGCAATCAACCAAGGTCCCTCAGACCCCTCTGCACACCAGCCGGGTCCTAAAGGAGGACAAGGAGCGGTGGGAAGACGTCAAGGTGAGGGCCGTGCTGGTGTGCAGTGCCCTGGCCTTGGGTATCTGTCACAATGGGAGCGGTGGCTCTGAGCTGCTGCCCTGGCTGGGCTCACTGGTCCTGTTTCCTGTCTGCCTCCCTGGGGCTCAGCAGGAGTTGGGGGACACTTGCTGCAGGCCCAGGTCTTCTGAGTCCTGGCCCACGCTCTCGGTGCCTTCTTGCTGGTCTCGGAAGGCCCTTGGAAGCACCAGGGAGCTCTCTGCCAGCAGGTGCCTGCCTGTCTCCCTCCCCCCGCCCCCCAGCCCACTCTCTCTCTTGCCTTCACCTCTCTCTCTCTGGACCCTTCTTCACACTACACTCCTGTCACTTGCACCCAACCCCAGGAGGAGATGACCAGTGCCTTGGCCACGATGCGCGTCGACTACGAGCAGATCAAGATCAAGAAGATCGAGGATGCTTCCAACCCTCTGCTGCTGAAGAGGAGGAAGAAGGCGCGGGCCCTGGAAGCTGCAGCCCTGGCTCACTGAGGGGCACCCCCCCATTGGAGGACAAGCAATAATGCCCACCAGATGTATTTTTTAAATGAAGAGATGCAGGCCGTCCTCTCTGCCAGCGCCTCCTCCCGGCTGTGGGAGCCTGGGAGTGTAACGCCACTGTGGCCAGCTGAGTTCTGCCTTTGGCTGCGGCCACCCCAGGGAGCGGGGAGCTGGGGGCTGCCACGGGAAGGGAGCAAGAGGCTCTCGGCCACGCTCCTGCTGCAGTTTTACCCAAGATTTGATGTAGAGTTTTTATCAAATTTCTTTTATCGTGCTTTCCCTTCCGCCGCCTCCCCACCAGACCCCTTCCTCTTGGATCCTGCGAAGGTTTGGGGTTTGTTCAAGGGTTATTTGTGGAGCTGTTACAGGGAGGGGCCTGGTGATGCCCCACCTGCCCCCTCCCCCCTTTTCCCCACTGCAGCCTGACGTCCTGCCGGCTCAGGTGTCCCAGAAGCTCAAGGCCATCCATGGGGGAGCTTGGAGGCCTTGGGTGTCAGCAGTGCAGCGGGCATGTGGGAGAGTGAGCGAGTGTGTATGTTTGTGTGTGCCTGTGTAAGCATGCTATGCACATGTGTGTGCCCGTGCGTGCGTGTGTGTGTGCCCACATCTGTGCCTGGGACCGTGCACTTGTAGAACCAGGGCCCTACAATGGCTCAGCAGCCCTCCCTCTTGGGGCCCACCCTGCTCACACTGAGCCTGCCAAAGTGCCTGGGAGGCCTGTGCAGACAGAGCCAGGTCAGCCAGGTCCTGGCTGTCAGAGAGGACTGACTCGGGCACTGGCACAGTTGTCAGGAAGACTGGACCCCCCCACCCCAACCTCTCTTCCTCCTCAGTGCTGTCTTCCCTCTTGCCCCCGACCCCAATCTGCTCAGCAGCCTCTTTACTGTCCCTTCTTGCCTTCAGTTGCCCATCCTTGGTTTTCTGAAAATTTTAGATACTCTGCCAGCTCCTGTCGGTGCGCGTGGCTGAGCCGTGTCCTGTGGCTCACCTCAGCTAGGGGGTGTCAGCCCTAGTCAGACCCCATGGGCCTCCCTCAAATTTCCATTGTGTGGCCTGGGGGGGCAGCGTTCTTCGCACCAAAGATGTTCCGACTCTGCCTCCTGGTCCTTACTTAGCCCTCCTACCCAACCCCCCCGCCACCTCAACAACTCTGCTTCCTGTGTCCAGGCCCTCCCCCAGGGTTGCCAAGGGTGGCACAGGCAGCCACGCCCGGTCCCTGCCTGGAGAGGGGCAGCAGGTGTGCTTCACCGGCCCCTCCCTCAGGGCAGGTGGAGGGGGCACCGGCTGTGCCTCCCTCATCTCAGACGGTGTGTCCAGCACTCAGACTGTTGTAAACTTTTGTTTTGTATGAGCAAAATTGTCTTTACTAAACTGATTGAATAGTTGAAAGCTTCTCTGTCTTCCTTCCTGGGCCCTAGGGCCCTGGCCCCTCTCTTCTGTGTGTGCCGGGCGAGGGCAGAGCCATGGGCTGCAGAGAGGGCCTGAGGGCCTCTGCCAAGGGTAGGAGTGAGGCGCAAGGACTTGGGGAGCCAGTTCTGTCAAGAACTGGACTGAGAACCAGGCTGCTTTTCGGCGTGTGATTGCTTGACCCATATAGTCAAGTGCTACTGTCAGCCTGGGAAAGCTGGCTGGTGGGGTGGGTAGGGCTGAGAGCAGCTGGTAAGCCTGGTGGGAAGGGATCAGGGGAGCAGGTTGGTGTAGTACCTGAAAGTTCCAGCAGGGGGTGATAGGGCCCGCTCAAACTAAAGCACCTCCGGGCTGGAAGAGACCTCAGTGGATGCAGACAAAGTGGGCACCAGGGTGGAGGAGGGCTGTTGGCAATCACTTGATGATGAGTTGACTGGGTCTCTGCTGGTTAGGGAGAAGGGCTGGCACGTTCTAGATCATGATAACTGCGTTTTCTTCTGTGATTCTGACAGGCAAAGCAAGAGGGTGCCTGTCCCCATGTAATGGGCGAGGCCTGGGGTGTCCTCCTACCACTATCTGCCTGCCCGGGTAAAGGCTTGCTTGTTTGTGCTCCCTGTTGCCACAGCTGTCACTGTGCCAGTGCCCAGTGTGTGGGAGCAGAGGCCTGTGGCCCGGCCTTAAGGACTCTGAGTGGGTACCTAGGCTCAGCACTGAGTAGCAGCAGTAGTGCAGGGTTTCTGCCTTTAGAGGATCATGTCTGGGCTCATGAGGGAGTTGAAAGTGTGGAGATCTTTCCAGGGAAGGGAATTGGTCAAGGCAGTGGCTACCCTGATGCAGGGGCTCAGCACGGGGCACGCACATCCCCAGCTCTGGGCTTCAGCTGTTGGAGGGGCTTCTCCTATGGCCACAGCTCCCACTCAGCTGGAAAGAAACTCCTCTCTCTTTTAAAGAAAGCCAGAGAGAGGAGAGGCACACAGAAAGAAGATCTATCCTGTGGCTCACTCTCCAAATGGCTGCAACAGCCAGGGCTGGGCCGGGCCTAAGCCTGGAGCCCGGAACTCTACCCATGTCTCCCACATGGGTGGCTGGCACCCAGAGCTTTGGGGCGTCTCCACCCAGAGCTTTGGGGCAGAGAACTGGACTGGAAGCAGAGGAGTCAGGCCTGGAACCTGGCACCCCAATATTGATGCAGGCACCTCAAGCCAGGGGATAGGTGTGAGGGCAGAGCCTGAGCTGATGGGAAGACAATGCCTGTCCTGGATTCTCTTTGTGAAGATAGAGGAGCTGAGATTTGGCCAACCAGGGAATCCAGGGAGATCTTGCCAGCTGTAAACCATGCCTCCTGTCCTGTGTGCAGAGCCCGGCTTGCTGTGAGGTCATACCCTCAGCTCTGGGAGTGAGGCGGCACAGATTCCTTGGGTCCAGTGTTATGCTGCAGCAGCCACTGCGGTCTCGCTGTCCCTATGCCCCACCACAAATGCCTGTGTTTGGCCTCCTTGCCTGTCTGGGTTAGACCTGCAGGTGGCAGTGAGGGGCCAGCATGGGACTGGCTCTTAGAGGAGATGCCAAGAAGGACCATTGTGTCTTCACTCCCTGAGTCTAGCCGGCATTAGCCACCCCCTGCCAGATGCCCTGGCAGGAGGGCAGTGGAAACTTGTGTCCCTCCAGGCAGCCTGTGGCCTGCCAGGAGAAGGGCCTGCGTGTGCTGTGGATCACCTTCAAGCTGAGGAAGTGGGAGGCATAAAGGGCTTTGTCCCCCCAGCACCCAGGCACCTGCTGGTTTCTCACCTTTACGTTTTCACCAGCATGTGAACCCTCTGAGGCCGGTGTTCAGTCTCCACTTCTCCACTCAAGGGCACTCAGTTGTGGACTTGACCAAGGTTGCTCACTAGGTAGATCCCCTAAGAAGTCCCTGGAAGGGCTCCTTAAGAGGGAGAGCTGTGGAGGCTGGGGTTGTTTAGGAGGGCAGTTTAGTTTTCTGTGCCACAGGGGTACTCTGTCCGAAGGAGGAGGCTGCCTGTCTGAGGGAGGCGGCCATCTGAGCAGCTTCTGTGTTCCTAGGACCTTAAGAACAGTTATTCCCCTCTTCCCCAACGCAAGCTAGGGATCCCAGTCCCCTGGGGGCGAGGCTGGCTGGGTTTGAAAGCAGCTTCTCTGTGGAAGACTAGCTCCCCCCATGACTGGGGCCATGGGTGCTATATCCCTCATGCTGCACTGAGAGAAGTGTGGGGATGGTACCTAACTCAGTGGAGCAAATGCCCATACACTTGCTATGCACCTGTGCCTTATGTAAATGGACCAAGTGCAAGGTTCCCAATCTGCCCTTGAGCTGGTGAGACATAAGAGGCCTGCATGTAACAGTGAATGGCTTTGTCCTTGCTACTAGTGTATGCCTAGGCCTGGGCACCTTAGACACTGCTCCAGGGAGGGTGTGTCTTTTGCGTCCATGTAGCATGGCGCACACACTCTTGGAGATTTTGAGATCAAAGGACACTCACCCTGGATCCTAGTCCAGCCAAGTCTTCTCACTTATACCTTGGTAGGTGGTTTTAGCCCTATCCCATTCAAGACTCAACAGAGGATGCATGGGACATGGGAAGGTGGGAGAAGTGTGGGTTGTGGATCTGCAGTGAGGGACCACCCCCAAAACTCCTGGCCGTTTTCCTACCAGGGTCAGTGCCTTGGTCTCCTTGGTGCAGTGACTTCAGCCACCATCCAGGCTGAGCTCATTTTGAGTGTATGTTGAGTTGTGTCCCACGTGCACGTTTTTGGGGAGATACTGGTGAGGAGGAAGTGGGTGCAGGCCTCAGGATCAGACATGGACATTATGGGAGAGTTGGTGCTCTAACCAGCATGTGCATGGGTTGCGCTGTGAGGCACAAGGAGCCTTCCTGCAGATCTGTCCACACTGGCACCTAGGGGCCGGGTAGGTGGGGGAGGATGAGGGAGCAGCGTAATGGAGAAATTCCATGCGAAGTCCGGTTGCCGGAGTCCCTGTCTACGTGCCTTTGGGTCTCAGGTAACCCAGCTTGTGGTCTGAGCTGCTGTCTGCATGGCTCTTGAACTTGACCCTTGACTCCATGGCTCTACCAATGTGCTCTGATGCACCTGCACTGATGGGAAGTGCCCTTAGCTGTTTTCTGCTGTTTCCAGCTTCTCTAATGTGGATTCCTCTCCAGGTCGCCCTGTCCCCCTCCCAGAGCCAGAATCTGGGAACATCTACCTGATAGAATCCTGCCCTTTTTTGTAGTTGTTGTTCACTGAATTTCTTTAAAAAAAAATAATCTTGCCAACTTGTACCATCCACCTGGATTGTTTGCTGTTAGTCATACATTTTATGAATCTTTATGGACAAGGATGATGTCCTATGGAAAAAGGGCAGCTATCAGGGTCCTCCTTGCTTCTCTGGCTGTTGCTGCTGGTCTGTTAGTCCCTCTCTGGCCTCCACGTTGTGCACACACATCAGTGTGTAAGGGTTCTCGGAGGGCTCCCAGCACGTGTGGGGTGTGTCCCAGGACATCAGCACCTCGAATAAGGAGTCGTCTTGGCGTTCATAGCTTCTCCCTGTGCTTCTGCTGTGAAAGTAAGGCTCCTGCTGGAGAAGCTCACAGGCTGGAGGTTCTGGATGTGCTAAGCCTCTTCTGGGAGCCCTGGCCTGTCATGCAAATACTTTTATTTGCATAGCTTTTTGGCTTTCAGGGACCATGAGTCTCTCTCTCTCTCTCACACACACACACATACACACACAGAGCCACACAAACACACACACAGAGCCAGACCAGGCCAGGCTAGGATTTGCAAGTGAAATACTGGGACCGGGCTTTCCCCAGTGGCCGCCCTGCTCACCCCTCCTTGGTTCCATGCTGTCCCTCAGGTGCTCTGTGAGCAAGTCCTAATCTCTGATCATCAGGCAAAGGTGTTTCCTGGAGCCCAGCCAGGTAGGCCAAGTGTCTGACTGTCACGCAAGCGAGCAGCGACGTGTCCCGACTGTGTCCATCCATGTGACACGTGAGCTGGCTCCTTCCTTAGACGGGACAGCTGTGCTCCTTGCCCAGCTCACACCCGCCTCTCCCCCCTCGCTCGGGGTGACGGGGCCTCAAGTTTCGGAATGAGCGGCCTCCTCCCAGCTCTTGCCCTCTGCTGTGGAGGCCTGTGGTTCTTTGTTCCCCAGTCACAGGGTTGTTTTCAGAGAAACCACGGCCTGGTCTGAGTGTGAGGCTGGGCCCCCGGGGTGAGCTGGGTTGTGTCAGGCCTGGAGGGACCCATGGGTTTCTGGCACGCAGTCGTCTCTTTCTGGTCACGAGCCTGTTGGGAGGAAGCGGTCTTTACATGTGGCTGGAAGCCCGCAGGAGGGGCTGCTCTGAGCTGGCATGTAAGGCAGGAGAAGAGAGAACCAGCCCATCTGTGTGCTTAGTCCAGCCCTGCCCGGGTTGGAATAGCTTCTCCCTATCTGTTGGATGAATTTGTTTAGCAATTATAACATTGTAGACATTTATGTGCTTATACTTATCTAGACACCCAGTCAAGCAGGACAGTTCCTGTTCCTAATCTCTTCTCACCCAACCATGCCAATTCCTGTTCCAGAAATAATTTCTTTAAACAGCTTGCTTCAACACCCCCCACCCCCCAGGTTTCTATTACAGTTCTTTCAGTTGATGTATGCTCACACAGTGGAGACATTTCCATAACTTCTGTGACAGGCACAAGTAGAATTGTTAGGCGTGTTCATCTATAACTTGCCCATAAAAAAGTTGTGATAACACACAACAGAATTTACCCTTAGCCATTTTGCAGTGGAAGTTGAGTCATTTCTCCTCACTCTGTGCTCTTGAAGCAATTGCAGTTGGGTTTTAGGATTTATTTTATTATTGAGAGGCAGAGAGGGAGAGAGGGAGAGAGTGAGCGAGAGCCTCTCGTCTGCTGGCTCGCTCAATGCCTGCTACAGTTGGGGCTGCACCAGTCTGAAGCTGGGAGTTGG